AAAGCGGGGTCTGCTGCCAGCCCCCCAGGCCCGGGGCTGCAGTGACACCCCCTCCCCAAAGCGGGAGAGAATTTGCAATTAGCAGGCGGAAGGGGTGTTGGTTTTGGGCTCAGAGTCAGTCTCAGGGTGGTTTTTTTTTTGTTTGTTTGTTTAGGGTTTTTTTTTTTTTTGGCAAAATTAATTTGGTGACTGCAGGAACCCAGCTGCAAAACAAGACATTGCCGCAGGCACCGTTTCAAAGGCAAAGAGCTCACTGTACGGATATAAGCACCAGACCCTCAGTGAAGGAGTAATTTTACTTGTTAACTCCGGTAACTTGAACCCAATAACGCGTTGCTTTGTTCCAACAGTTTCGAGACCCAAATATTTAACAGCTGAAACGTCATCTCTCACTTTGAGATTCATCTCAAGTTGATTTAAGAATTACTGCAGGACTTTGAAGCAACAAACCCTAAGCAGGGAGTTTTTGCGCTCGACCTCATTTAGCCCAGCAGAGCACTCAGAGCCACCCTACTCGTACAGGGTTGGGGGTTACAACGGGACTGTGTTTGCAACGCAGCATATCTTGGAAGTGACCACCCCAGTCTAGTTCCACAAAGACGGACGGCTGGGCAAGGAGACGAGCTAAACGGACTCAAAACCCAATCAGTAATTTACTTTTTGTGAGAACAGACCTGGTGAAGAAACATGTTCTAAGGGAGGGAAAAGAATTTAAAAAAAAAAAAATCAAGGTTTACTAGTGAACAAATAACCAGAGGAACAGAGTGGATTGGGTCGCCACTTCTACACTTAGCATGAGTTAGAAAAAGCAAATACAATACAGGTTTATGAAAGATGTGTACAATACTAGGTGAAGATACAGGTTTGGGCATCAGAAAGCTAATGGGTCAGCACCTTGAGTAGGGTTGCCACAAATTACAGAAAAGATGTGGAAGAACTGGAAAAAAGTGCTGAGGCTACAACAATAACAGATGCACTTGTGAATAGAAGTTGAATTCAAGTTCCGTAAGTTTAAACCGAACACATATCAAACTCCTCAAAAATGCTACTTTTAAAGTTGCAACAGGTATTTTTCTCCGGCTTTTTCAAAGTAAACACATTGGACAGTCACTGATAAAAACCAGATGAGCCGCACCTTACCTTCCAGTTGCACTGCTAAAAAATGTTGTACTTCATATACAGTTGTACTAAAAGATAGGTAAGTTGCACAGGAAAAAATGGAAAGAGCATCCCCATCAGGGAAAAAAACACCCCACAAACATTAATTAGCATTTACACTCCTGGAAGACAAGTCCCATATGATAACTTATCCAGTCACATATAGCCAGGAACTCATTTTTACAGTGACACCTTGGTAGCTCTAAAATACACGTAACGAGTTCTTAAAGGCCAAAATTATACATCCAAATGAGAAAGCGTTCACAGTTTCCCAGAGCACGGACTGTTTTTCTAGCCCAATTCAAAGTGCCTCTTTTGTAACATCATATAATCCCCACTTTCCATCATCTAAAACTTATATTTTTTTTCTTTAGACAAACAGGGACTTAAATTTGCTGTCTTATAAGTAGTTTCATGAGCTGGCCACATACTATTTTTATTTATTATTCTAATGTTGACCAGCAGTAGATCTTTTGGTTTTTTTTTTTTTTTTTTGTGAAATGTCTAAACAGCGATGCTCTGTTGAAGATAAGATAACTTTCGAAAGTTACCTGGAGTACCTATACCAGCTTTGTTTCCATAGAGCTTAAGTTTGCAGAACAAAAAGAACCCCCCCAAAACAAAAAAAACCACGCATGCAGAAACAGGAAAACTCTGCACTTATGAAGGTGCACAATAACATGAGATATGTATGTGAATTTATAAAATAAATGAGGGAAGAGGCAACCGTGAGATGAAGATTAGGCAAGTCCCGCCAGTTATGTCACCAAGAGAGCTGCTTAGAAGCCCCATAGCTTGGGGCATTTAAAATTAAAACTGGACAACACACCTACAAGGATTCGGACTGTAAGGATCCAAATAATGTGGAGAAGGTCGGGTGCCCTCATTCCCTCCTCCCACCCCAGACTGCAAATGAAAATCTGATTTTCTTCACAGGACTAGGGCTAAGTGAACAATCAGCCCCCGAGACAGTATACACGCTTCCTTTGCTGACCATTAACTGCAGGCCTTTTATAAGGACTCGTGACAACTGTGTTCAAACACCTCTTCTATACCATGAAGCACAGGTTTTCATCAAACAGCTGAACACCATTTAAAAAATAATTATTTTTACATTCGATTTACATACAAGGCTGGGTGCAAATGCAGCTTTGTACTTAAGAACATTTTTCCATGGAAGGAGTGAATTAGACACTGAAAGTCAAGTTACCCTATCAAATATTCTGTACATTTCCTTTTTGTATGAAAATTATACCCCAAATAAGATTCAAAAATTCAGTAAAATCTAATCCATGCATCCTTTATTCCATTACAATCACTGCGTTGCGTTCTAGCAACATGACACAAACTGCAATCAATCGCGATCTATTTATACAACAATCTGAGGCTTACAGTACATTTAAGGCCTTTAAATTTGGAAAAGTTAGACCTATGCTAGTAGTGTAACAATTTTAAGTGTCTTGCATTTCTGATGCATAATCTGTGCGATTCCAGTGTCAAAGAATCAAATTACTTCTAAACTAAAAAGATCAGTTCAATGAAAATTTAGTTACATAAATTCATCAAAACATAAATGTGTAAATTGTTTTGTCCTGGAAACTTTATAAAACTTTAATAGCAAAATAATATAGGGATAAAAACATATTTTAACAAAATGTATTCAATCATATACAAACCAGAATTTTGCAGTTTATTGTAACTAGACTTAAATTAAAACTACCAATTAAGAATCTATGCACAATGTAAATTCAAATATGTACAGTACTTTTAAAAAGTCTACAGGAATGCTTTACAGAAGGAAATGTCCGTTATGGCTATTATTCAGACCGTCTGAATATTAAAATGAGTTTTCTAGTAGTAATTTTACACATTTATTTTTAAACAAAAAACAATTTTGTCCATCTTTCCTTTAAGAATATTCCAGTTACGTTTATACAGGTAATTGAGAGGTCATTACAGAATTTAGCCCCCTATAGTAGTTTGCTTATTTTCAGGAAAAACTCTATATTTAAATAATTTACTTGGGAAGATCAGTAAGTTAACAAAAGAACATGAAAAGGGAGGACGGGAGATCTTCATCACAATAACTTTCCAGTAACAATACCACAGCTAGAAAAACTTTACAAAGGAAGTACTCCCTTGGATCGAACCCACAACCGATTGCTTAGAACAAGCTGCAGCTCGTGACAGTTGTGTTCTACATACCGAGAACATTGAAAAAAAAGTCTTTGTCGGACAGACTTATAAACGATCAGAAGTGAGACAGAGAAAACTGACCTTTGATTAATACAGCACTAGGTAAAAAGTGTCCCCATAAGCAGCTAGTATTCCCACTTCCTTCAGGGCAACGAAGCTAAAAATTGTTGGAATTACAGTAGTTGACCATATTGTGTGCATTAGTAGAATCATTTCCAGATATAAAAGACAAATTTCATCAGATGTTTGATTAGAACACCCCAAAGTTCAGGGTATTTCTTCATAGTATAAAGCTATTACAGCTATCCAGTTAAAGCATGTGCAAAACCAGGTAATTTCTTCCGTTCACAGTAACTGAGGTAAAATCAGGTAGACTTCTTCAGGAGTTGGGAAGTTCATGAGATATGAACTGTTTTAGTCTCTCTAAGTATTGTGCATAAAGCTCTATGTCATTATGCCCAGCCCCTTCCACCCAGAGGGGCTCTACCGCTCGCGGACATCGCTCGTACATCGCCAGGCCGTGGGAGAAATCAATTACCTCGTCTTCGGTACCGTGGATTACCAGCACAGGAGAGGTTACTTTAGATATCTTGTCAATGCTGGGGGATGGAAAAAGAAAAACATTGCTCAGTTTGGGACTTTTAACTTTTGTACCATTTCAGAAAGCGAGTTTAACTATCGACGCGTGACCCGGTTACCACTGCATGGTTTTAAATGGCTGCAATACCTCCAGAATTGTGTCCAAATGACACGGAATAGGCTTATTTACAAAGCGCAAGCGAAAACCGGAGCCTGCACTACCGTCACGCTGCCAGCTCTAACGACACAAAGTTTGAACGGGCATCAGCGCCAGTAAATCTGGTGCAAGAGAACAGCGCGTACATCTATTCACAGAAACCACTGAGGTAACCCACTGAGAGGCAAATAAGACTCCAAGTGACATGTTACCCACGCAGACTCGTCCCATTACACATGACACCCTTCAATTTAACACACTAGGAACCAATTAGCTGCATTCCAGTCACCAGGCGTCATGCAACAACAACAAAACCTCAGATCACGAGGTTCAAAGCCTGTCCTTAAACCCCAGAATGAGCAGATTCAGATCAAGAAAAGTGATCTTTTCTGTATACTGATTGTAAGTTCAAATGGTAAAAATGAAAATAAGAGAATAGTGTTCCACAGGGACAGTCAACGGCAAACCAGAAGAAACCCACCCAGGATTTTATTTTATGCATCTGACTTCTAGGCCCCTTTGCAATTGGGGCTGAGGAAGAAGTCAACCTTTACCTCCGGTTCCAGCTGTGCTTAGCAGGCCAGCACACGTAGCACGCTGCCTCTCGCAGGGACACGGGTTCAGAGAAAAGCAAAGAGTGACAAAGACTCCACGTACCTGTGAGTTCAGGCCTGCGAACCCTAATTATGAAGTACACTGGTAGCACATGAACTTCAAAGTGATAAATAACAGCTTTCTCTGTCTGCCTTCAAGCAAGCACTGCCTTGACCTTCCAGCCAGCCACTCTACGTAAGTGGTTACCAGTAACTCCGCTTCAGTATGTCGGTACTGAGGCTAATGAACTCCCTGCTTCCTAGCCAGCTCTGCTTACATCAACAGATGCAGCAACCGGCGAATGGTGAAACTATGCTTCGGCGCAAGACATGATATAGAGTATGGGATGAATTGGGTGGAAAAAATAAATATTGGTAATATTTGGTTTGACAGAAGGACAAGTCTATTTCTTAAAGCTAGCTAGTAAAAGTGTGTGGATTTTCCTACTGCAGGAGAAGAAAGTATGCCACTTGGATAAGGCTAGAGACTTCACAGAGTGACCAGTCTAATTGCTTAAAATAATTAAAAACACAGACCCCAACACACACTGACTTAAAAAAAAAGTTTAAAGAAGCTGTATGAAAATATGAAGTTAATTAAAAATTAAAATGTAAACCAAAGCAAACTTCACACATGTAAACCTCAGCATCTAATATTCTAGAGAACAGCCACTGGTGTTCCAGTAAACAGCTGACTGAAAACATATTTTTGTCTTTGTCTCAGTGCTTCCCCAAATATCAGATATTGTGTAACTTAAAGAGGGAACGTGTTATTTAACATTAAAATGTAACATATTTCATTTTTCCTGTCTGGAACTTCAGTTGTGTTTAACTGTACGTGGAATGCAGAAAAGTATCCCAAGAACGTGAAAGAAAGAATAACGCACAGATAATTTGTTTAATAGTTTTCAAATTCATAAGACTGCCAAAATACAAATATTTAATCATCAAAATGCTATATAAACTGAAGTCTTAAGCCCTGAAAGGGTCTGTCTCTGAGTTCCAAGATGTGACAGCTAGGCCAGCTATGTACAGTTACTTACATACAGATTTTTATTTATCACGCTGGTAGCTAGATTTTAAACACTCATTTATTGTAGGAAACCAGGGAACCCCTTTCACTACAGTACTCAGTTAATGAAACTATTTTTTCACATCTATTCACAGAACATTAAGCTAGATAATATTTGTATTTTGCAGAAAATTGGAAAGCATCCCATTGCCAACTCAGCGGCTCATAAGGCAGTATTTAAACTGCACATCAGACTTACTTAGTATTCTTAGCCACACCACTCTGCAGCTAGAAAAATCTACAGAGACGACATTCTCATGGAGTCCCAACATAAAACGCACATAATAGCGATTCATTGTCGGTGCACATAGAACTATTTTGTTTCCTACTGTGAAGACAGACAGTTGAGCTGTACACATTCATGAAAGTGCACAGATGTTTATTTTCACTCCTTACAGTATAAGGGAAGTCAGACTGACAGCGATGAACAGCTTAGTAGGTTAAGAACAAAATTTTTAAGCACTATAGTCCATCTGTTGTCAACGCCCTCCCCCCTTTTATTTCTTTTTAAGCTGTTATTTGATTTAGCTGATATCAGCTAACCACTGTTAGTTTTACAAACAGAGCTATTTTTAAGGCTTTGGTTTTCCTCTAACAGAAACATTTATAAATATTAAATTTAAAGTTTAAGGATGATGAACAAGTTTGTGAATAGGAATTTCAAGTTCTGACTGCATCTTCAACAATTTACATTTTAACTTATATGCAAGAATACTGAACATTGGGACTGAATACAGTTACTGTGAGCTACATACTTCATCATCTGGCTCTTTAGGCATATAGATTTATAACTGCGGTTTGTAACCTTCCCTCCCCCTGCCCTTCTAGTTTTAATCTGTTGAGACCAAAATAAAACAAGCATGGCAAATGCTATGAATATCCCCGCTACACTCATTGCAAGTGTGATCTTCTGAAGCAAAGCCAAGCTTTGCACAAGGCTTCAGAAAGTCTCCCCCCTGGGCAGTTCCTTTTTGCCCCCCCCCCCCTCAAATCTGCCTCTAACCTCCTCCCTGCCCCTGCTTCCCCCCAGTCTGCACACAGTGCTATAAAGTCTTCCCTCTCATGCTCTCAGTGTCCAGCTCCCACAAATAGCTTCATCATTGTCTTGAACTGCGCACCTTGCTCTGGAGAAAGCTGTGAGATATTTTAGTGACCAAAGAAAGGTCACAGTCCCATGAAGGACTTGTGTTGAGCTCTGAAGGTAACTGAAAGATTAGTGACTACATACTTGTCGTTTTAAAGTATGTTTATCCATGCTACATATACTTAAGCTGTGTTTTTATATATGACAAACACTGTCCTGGAAAGCATTAATATTTTGTTCAACAATCCTCCTTCTGCTAAACATACTTTAAAAAGTTCATCCTAGAAAAGCACCAAAGCCTTTCTTATTTAAGTGAATGCCTCAAACAAGAATCCACTTTTAATAATATTCAAAGTTTAACTGTACAAAGTCACCACGATCAAGTGTTTTAAGGTATTTTCCTAAAAAACATCTGTAGCAGGTTAGTAAAAATAAGCCCAAGTAATAAGTGTGCAACGTAGAATTTATTCAAGTTTTAGAGAATCATTAGGTAATTAGTAACACAAAGACTCTGGCTGTAAAAAGAAAAAAACTAACTGTTAAGTCAGAGGTATGATTTGTCCTATCAGCTCTACAGAAATGATTGATTTTTTAATTTCCATACGATAAAAATCCAAGCTCTTTCTTGAAAGATCCAAAAAAATCCAAACACAGGCAAAACAAAGCATCAAAACGGAACTTTTGAAAATTTTGAATGTATTCAATATTTTGAATATTGAATATTGTAAACAGCAAGCGCAGACATCTAGAAATATATCAAAAATAATTAGTAAGCTTCATTTACTAATTTCCAACTCTTCGGATTTGGCTTTTGTGTAATCTAAACTGGGCCAGATGAGAAGTTTTAAAAAGCTCCTAGAACATCTGTTCTTCCCAAGCATTTGGATTTTCTTTAATTTAGGTTTGCTGCAATTTCTTTTCAAATGAGATGTTAGGCTATAAAGACAAATGTTTTCTCTGGAAACAAGCTGGATACAGCTTTCTGTATGGAAAATGTTACAGAGCTCCTTAAATAAGCTTGGAACCTTCAGAAAGAGGCACAGTAACATACTTATCCTGATCGCAGAAATCAAGAGCTTACATGATCTCCATTAGTGAGACCTCTATCTGTTTCTCCCTATTTTTACCGATTTTATATGGACAAGCATACTTGGGATGCAGAATTGTTTCACTTATAAGAACTAAAGGGGAAAAACAAAACAAACAGACAAAACACTAAAAGGCATTCCCCCAGATCACGCAGGAAATGCGGAACCACACCAGACTAATGCTCTAGCTTCTGACTCTCACTGCTTCTCTCCCTTTAAAGCAGCCATTATCTATACCTTTTTCTTTGCTGATCTGGTAAAAATCATAGCAATATATTAGCAAGCAACTTGAAAATAGCACATCCATTTAAATATATTGTATTATCATCTAAATCAAAGTCAACTGAAATGTTACAGAGTGTATGATTCCTAATTCGGTAGTCATTAGCCTGAAGAACTTAATAGTGCATTAGCAGTTGTTAAGTTACTTTTTCAAAGTTGATGGCATAAAAATTCTGATGTTAACAAGTCATAACACACATAAAGATAGTTGTAAACACTAAGATTTACGTTCATCAAACTGATTATCATGTCAGCTTGAGACTGAGATCAGACTGTTTATAGGGTGAATCTCTGCTTTGATTTTGGTGTGCATATCTGTAGTTCAAAATGCAGGTCACAATTTAAGAAAAGCTCCCTAGAAAGTTACCTGACTACGTCTTTTAAACGCCTACACACTCAGTACAGAACAATCCCTTTGCAGCATTTATACATACCTTGGAAAAGCATCAAAACAATAGGTTTTCCTAGTGTCAGGAAAAGCTACCCGTAATCCAGACATCAGAGGAGAATGAAGGATTACTGCTGCACACTCGTACCGAGATGCCAGGTCTACTGTAGGGACAGTACCAATACTCTGACCATACAGAATAATGTTCTCAGGACTAACACCATACCTATAGAGAAAAAAAATATCGGTTTTAAAAACAAATTTTGCATCATAAAAGCACAAAAAAAAATCCTTTCCATCCATTGTAGCTCTTTAAAATTGACTCCAAACAGGCATAAATTTACAAGCCTAAATTTTAAAAAGGAGCCATTAACTAAATAACCAAAATGTTACATAGGTTTAATAGAGCTGTCCTTAACTGAGGAGTGTCAGTTTGTTGGTAAATCTCCACCACCTTTGTAAGTACCTCATCTTGTAATCAACAGCACAGCAAACGATAAATTAGATTCCCCCCTACCCAGAGCCACCCCTAGAAAGTTCATTTAGATATCCTGGATGCTAATAACCTTCCCACCATTAAAAAAAAAAAAGTTACTGCTCTGCTCCTCCCTCCTTTCCACGTAACTGGAACAGAAAGACCAAATTGCCTTGTTAATGTATTTGAAGACATATGCTTTTGTAAGGATTTGAGTGCGTAGTTTTGTTACTTTTTTGGTTTCTGATCAATGTAAGTTATTTCTCAATCTTCCCTTTCGGTTTAAAATATCATGCCGTATGTATTTTACAATGGTAAAGGTAATCATTCCATAAAACTCAGGGATCACAGGGAGTCTTGGATGGCTCCCAAATATTGCTACAAAAACATCCTCATTTGTGTGCTGTTTCACAGTTGCAAATAAATAGAACCAGCATTAATATCATCATCAACTTTGAGTATGCAAAATATAAAAGACTTAAAAATATTTCCCAAATTGGAAGGGTGAGGAACAACAGGGGGTAGGGAAGAAACAGTATAGGAGCATTTGGCCACCACAACTTGTGCAGAGAGCTACACATCAAAGGCATTACTTAGTTGATTACAGAATATTTATCCAGAAGGTTTCTGTGCCTAGCTCAATTACCTGTTACAGGTTGTACAAAGAATAACTCAGTGTGGAAGAGAATATATCTCTAGCAGAAGATAATTTGTTCAGAAGCCATCTTTTTGCCGGTCTAGACTGGCTAGGATCCTGCTGTCACTGCTATGACAATGAAAATCAAAACCTGGAGCTTAGGCTATACCCGCTGTACACTTGAAAAGGTTTTCAACTCCTTTCCCAAGCTGACAGCAAGGTGTCTGGCAGGCCTAGATAATACTCAACTTGCAAGTTGCCAAATGAAAAGGTACTTGCGAAACGGAAAATAAAAGTTACAAGAGAATAATATAGCACTAATCACTCAACTACATCCTGTCTAGATTGCCTGGTTTTATGATGAAGTGAAACTAGACTGGACTGTGGCCTCCGAAACTGGCATTTCCTTAATATTCCTGTATTGCTGAGCATAAGGGAGTTTTTGGCCACTACTGTAATATGAATAAGCAACTGTATAAAAACATCTCCCTGGAGCAATATTTTATCCTCTTGGTAACCAAGCAGCAGCTCACGTTGGTGGTCTATCACCACAGCCAGGGCATGATGTTTTTCAAGACATGCTGTAAAGTTCTTTCAGGAGAATTTTTTTCCCCTTACTGTTCGAGACAGTCCAACATACAGACGAACCGAACTGATTCTGAAGAACACGTTAGCAGGATCTCAGAGCAAAGTCTCACTCGCACTGACTTTACTCCAGCTTTAGCAGGAGGGAGCATATATCTTTGAAGGCAGAGTATGGAAACTGTGAATCCAATTTTGCTGATCTACCAGCTGTTGCAGCCTAAGAGACAGACAGCATCCCTCCCCTACCCCCCCCCCCAAAAAAAAAGGGGGGGAGAACAAGAACCTCTACATGGCACTGAAGTAGGGATGCAGCGGTATTAATGTTGATAGGTTTGCAGTACCTGAGCTCCAGTATCATGATAAGTGCATGCAAAGGCCCCTTCCTAAGGGGTTTACAACCTAAGCGTAACATGCAAACAGATGTACAAATAAGAATCACAGGACAGCATAGGAAAGCGCAGAGCGGCAAGAGAATTCCCTTAACACACACACACTTGCTTTAGTGCTGCAATTTTCTTCAACATTGATTTGCTTTGGATTCACTTGTTAGCTGCTTTCTGGAAACAGCTCATACTGTAAGCGAAGCGCTTTGCTGCCATGGCAATAGGTACTTCAGAAACAAAAGTCAAAACAATCTCAATTTCATAGTATGCCAGTTATAGTAAGACACAGGGTAAAGCATTATTAAAAAAAATTGTGAATCTCTAAATTTAAACCAGCCCTGCATCACTGAATAAATATTCCAACTGTTCCACAGTTAACCCTTCAGAAAGCCAACTTGGCAGTCTTGCCAATACCCCCTAAAAGTTTTAGGACATTGACTTAGTGCATCTTGCAGCCTATAATGCAGTAAAATCTCTTTTCTACTTCATACTGCTTCTAATAGACAACTGAAAGCACCTCCGATTGGGAAGTCTGGCCCTAACTAAAACAAAATCAAATCGTTCCTGCAATCAGCTTATCCGTCTGCGCTCGCTACCATTGCGCCGCCCATCAGCACGTAATGCATCGAGCTCACCTCAGACATCAGCACAAATGTTTACATGTAAGATATATTTACCGCAAGGCCAAAGGACGTATGACAACTCCTAAGCAAGGTCCAGGCACAGCCGACGCGCACGTGGCGCTCTGAGCGGACGGCGAAGGCTGGGCTCTGCGGTACACCAGTCCTTTACAGATGCCGCTCAGCTGGTGACTCAGCGAGCGCCGTCCGTTTAACTAAGGCACAAATGACCCAGGAGGTTTATTTTTAAGACAGTATCTCTTCTAACTAAAGGCTGGGCCCCTTTCCCACTCTCCATAAACTCCTTCACAGTAGCAAAGATCCTTATAAACTAGGAACAGTCATGCAAGAAAGTGAAACGGGAGAAATGAGGAAGAGTTGTCACAGACAAGGAGGAAGCAATGAAGGGGAAACATGAAGTCACACAGAAAAGGAAAAGAGTGAAGAATGACAGAAAAAGGCAAGAGAACATACTTTTCAGAGGAATCCTGCCGCAATTTGCTCTCCTATTAAGGAAGAAAGTTCTTCCACGAGCTAAACAGAGCTAAAAATATCTTTCTTGAAACAAGTGAGCTTGGTCTCTGTGGAAACAGGACTCCCGCGAGGGGATGGAAGACCCCAGCTAAATTCACGGGTACGCCGCTGCGTTTCCCCCGCGGAGCCCATCTGCCTGTAGCAGTTTCAAAACAAGCAGGTGCCATTTGGAAACCAGCCTTCAGGAAAAGCAAGACAGGAAGCGTTTCAAGTAGTTATCATGGGCATTCGCAAAAGAGTGATTTGAAAAAAAAGAAAAAGGGGGGGGCGGAGGGGCCTTTTTTGAGCAGAAATCGATTATTGAACAACTTGAAAGAAAATGCAAGCGTTTCTATTGCTCCCTACCCACAAACACACTCCAGGTGGCAAAGGTCTCCAACCTTGTCCACTCGTGATAAGCCGCGAGCAGATTATGGAGATCGTGGCCTCCAGCCCCTGTGGGCGCTGGCGAACGCGCCGCCTTTGCACGCAGGACAGCTCTGCGCTCGCAAGACTTCTCCCTTCAAGTCACTTCTAGCTAAGACGCTACTGCCTCAGTTTATAGAAAACGTATATTTTCGCCTGATTGATAGCAATTCTGGTCTCCTTACACCAGTGCAAACTGTGCTCTGGGAGTCAAAGAAGCTGGCTGTTAAGCATTTCACAGCCAAGACCTTTGCACTTACTCCTGCACAGAGATCTCAGTCACGACAGTGGGAGGAAGGAGACTGGGAATATCTTGGAGGCCTGGGTACAACCAGGGAGGAGGGTAGACAGTCAGACTGTTTCCTGCTCAGTCTGATCAGCCGCATGGTTGTGGGAAGGGCCACATCTCTCCCCATGCCTCAGTGTCCTCACACGGTAGCAGCCGTGCATGTAAAGCACTAAAGATTTCTGGATGACTGCACTATGTAAGAGCCATGCACTGGCATAAAAACATCTTTAATTATGAGCATAAGACACCGAATTTTTTTTTTTTTTCCCCCCCCAAGACTTCAGCTCTGACCGATACAGATGGAAAGTTTACCACTGCTATTTTTACCCTTTTTCTCAGTTGAAAGTGTTAGTGGAATAGCTGCTTCAGGGACTACAAATGTGTCATACAGCTGAAGCCCTGCAACATTCATGGCCAAAGTTACAGTATCTGTGCCAGTCCTCAAAGGTGCGAAATACATATTCATTAATGAGGCCAGTTCTGTTTTCAGGCTTACTGAATTGGTGAAGTTAACCGCCCCTGACATTTTCAGTTCTGAAGTTTTATGGTATTTACTGTCCCAAAGTTCCCTCATAAACTGGAAAGCATATAGAAGAGCATGGACACAGAAATAGCAACAAATCAGAGTTTTCAAGCTATTAAAACACTCGCAGTAATTCCACCAAGGCGGAGAATGGCAGAAGCTTCAGACTACAAAAAGCCCATTTCATAATGCCATTGAGACCTATTGTTTCACTGCAGCTATTCTGAGAAAGAAGTCGATCACCAATAAAGTATGCAAGCCCTTCTTTCTTCCCCTTTACAAAAGGGAAACAGCCAGAAAAACAGGCCGATTGCCCTCCGTGTTCTTTCAGGCAGGAAGATCGAGTTTGAAATTGTGTATCGCTCTCTCAAGGGAATCGCAGCTACAAAATAATTCAGTTTTTAAATATGTTAAAGCACATCCAGCATGCATCAGAAATGACACAATTCATGACAGTCTGGAGGCAATTAGAAACTTCAAGAGTATTTTCACTAGAATGTGCACCTGCTCAGATATAAGACAAAAATCTTCATAAACTACTCATCACTGCAAGTCCGTTTCTTCTTCTTTACACATACCCCTCCAGTGTCCCCAAAATTATTATTTTAAAGATGTATGTACTTTGCAGCATGGGGCACTAAAAATTTCAAAGAGCAAAAATACTGTTTAATCGCTGTTAAGGTTTTTTTGTTGAAGGAATCTTAATTAAAAACAAGAAACCCACAAGTGATCTTTATAATCTATTAACTCCTAGGCCAAACATGGCATGTGTTCA